CCCATAGGTCACTTTCACATTTGTTTCTCGCTTCATACGAGATGGGATAAAACTTCTATACTCATTAAGACTTTGTTTTTCGAGAGGAACTTTAGCAGATGTATTGCATTCATGTTTCAATGCCAATCGTTCATGAACAAACGTTCTTTTGAAGTTTTGTCCCGTGCATGTGTCTTCAACGTGTTTCATCATCATTGAGCTCGTTCCAAGCCGTTCTTGTAAAGTCATCTTGATAACTTTCTTTGGCTTCGGACCCAATCTATCAAAGATGGCGGGCCTTGATCTTACCCCCTCAATCCGATCAAAGACTGAATATTTCAGTTTAGAAGTTACTTCATCTTCTTCATCCGCACTAATATGATGCGTTGCGGCTCTATTTATGAGGATCCTTATGGGTTTCGGCTGAACATAACCCAATCCTGTGTGCCCTTGAAGATTGATATGCTTCGGTTTCCCTTCACCACCAGCTTCCGGAATGAGTTTTCCCAAAATCTGTTCGTCGGGATTATACCCAGCCTTGGCCAGAAGTTTGTATGCGTTTGGGTCAAATCCTTCATTTGTGTGTGCCTTAGGGAGCTGAAATGTCTTAACATCATTCTCGTGTTTCACTTCATCCTCCGATGTGTTTCGAGGGGGCCTTGATATTTCAATCTTTGCAAGAGGGAATACAAGCCCTTCTACGCCTTCAACAAGCTTCCCTTTCAACTTTGGTTCAGCCAAGGGGCGATATTCTTCTTCTTCTCTTCTTGCATTGTTATCTTTAAAAACTTTGGCCTTTAGATAAAACTTTGCGTCTGCAAAGTATGTCTCGGCTTCTGTGAATGGAGTTTCATCGGCTACTACCTTCTTTACAACACAATTTTCCTCATACATGAAGCATTGATGCCACGTTGAAGGAATTACACCATTCTCATGGATCCATGGGCGGCCCAAAAGGAGATTATATGAAGCCTTTGCGTCAATGACATGGCATAAAGTGCTTGCCTTCAGCCCGCCGATGATCAAGTCAAGACGTATCATTCCAATTGCCCTTTGCCCCCCTTGATTGAAGCCTTGAATCATTAAGCGGCTTTGAGATAGTTCATCCATTGATATATCAAGGTCTTTCATAGCTCGGACCGTCAAAATGTTAACGGCAGACCCTTGATCTATCATAATTCTTCTGAACCTTCGTCCACGAGTGTATCCTTCAACAAAAAGTGGACGATTATGGGGAGTAGCACCCAACATAAGATCTTCGTCTTTAAAGACAATGTCAGTGGCATATGCAGTAGATTTTTGTGCTTCGACCACTTCTCGCTTAGTCGAAACTGGATTTGAACATCTACTTGAACTCTCAACTTCCTTCTCATGGGTGCTAAGGCAAGAACTCGAAATTTGAGTTACCATGTTCTTGAAATCCTTGGGCATATAATCGTTAAGAGTAATCACCTTCCGTGCAACCTTGGACCGAACACGATCCTTCATTTGTTTCTTTTTCTTCAACTCGTTTATCGGTTGTTGCATGACCCATTTCTTTACCACTTTCCTCGGTTGTGGCTTAGGTTTGTGGTTCTTCTTTTGTTTCTTTCGGGTTACCAAAATCCATGGTCTTCCTTTGTCATCAACATCCTCAAATGCCATTCTTTTAGTGAGAGAAGGACATTCTTTCGTCCTCTTGACAGTAAAAGGAAGCTTATGCTTTGTGTCATCGTTGATCATAAGCGGAGCAAACCTACCAAATGTAATGGTAATTTGATTTGTGCTTGCTGCAGAATCAGCAAGTTCAATCTTTCCTTCACGGGCTAAAGCCATAATTTTGTCTTTGAACACCCAACACTTCTCTATCGGGTGACTCAACACTCTATGATATTTGCAGTAGTTAGGATCGTTGACCTTGGTGGCTTCTTCGGGTCGTTTTGACTGAGGTAAATCAACAAGTTTCAACCTCGTCAGTTCATCAAACATTGGAGATACATCAGACTCCAAGAAAGGATATTGTTTCTCCATCATCTCTCGCAAAGTCGGCTTGACACGCCCCGAGGCTTCAGGTTCAACTCTAGCAACTTGCTTTGCCTTTTCGGTATTCTGAGTGAAGACTTTGACTGGTGAAGCATTTACAACCATTGCTTCTTTCTTTTCTAATTTAGAAAAAGGCTTGCCCCCTTTCTTGGTATCTTGCTTTTCAACGGCATTGTTCATGGGATAGATGCCCATGGCTTGTCTTCCATTGCTCGCAATACTCAACTCCATGTTACGAGCTTTGCTTGCTAATTCATCGAAAGTAGCTGGATTCACTCCCTTGAGAATATAACATAACTCCCAGTGCATACCTTCAATGCACATATCAATTGCGGAGTTGGTAGAAATCCGATCTTTGCAATTGAGGGCAAGATCCCTCCAACGCTCGATGTAGGTTATCACGGGCTCATCTTTCCACTGGCAAGTAGTCGTCAACTCAAGCAAGCTCACCACCCTCCTTGTGCTGTAGAAACGGTTTAAGAACTCTCGTTCCATATCTTGCCAGCTGTCAATGGAACCGGGCTCCAAATCAGTATACCAATCAAAGGCATTTGCTTTCAAAGAACGCACAAACTGTTTGACAAGGTGATCTCCGCTCGTTCCCGCATTATTGCAAGTTTCCACAAAATGGGCAACATGTTGCCTTGGATTTCCCTTCCCATCAAACTGGATGAACTTTGGTGGCTGGTAACCAATGGGCATCTTTAGATCCTCGATCCTTTGAGTGTATGGCTTAACGTAGGAGTAAGTAGATTTGCTTCCTTCTATCTTCCCCTTTATGGTTCTCATGATGAAGTCTTTAAGTTGATCGATCGGGATCATGCCCTCAGAAGTTGAGATATCCTTCCCTGAATTCTCTTGGTGAGGATCATTCTCTTCATTCAGTTCAGGATCCTTCTCATGAGTATGACTTGACTCGCCTTTCAAGCTTTCTACTTTGTTGTTCAGATCACTCAACTTTTGGTCTTGAGCTTGCATGAACATACTCATCCCCTCGATGACTTTAGTTAGATGGGCGATATGTTCTTCCATAGACGTGGTGCTCGTTGTCATGGTGGGCATCACAGTATAGACATTTGACCACTGCGGAGTAGTCCTTCGTGGAGGAGTTGAAGGGGGAGTAGAGTCTGATCCAGATGATGAGCTCTCACCACCGCTTGTCCACTTCGGGGAAGTAACTTCACGTATGGGTGAAGAAAACTTCCGGGCCATCTCTTGCGCGATTCGATATCCATCCATTGCATCGGGAGTAGTTCCCGAGGATGACTGCGCAGCCAGGATTCTTGATCGGCTCCTAGTGATAGGGCCTTGCATGTTTTGATTTGAGCATGATGATGCACGCGAATTCAAAGTGAACACGGGCTTGCTTGATGCCATTGTTTCGTTTTCCTTGATCAAAAGTGAAGAGATGAGAGGTAGAGTTGTCCCACTGGGCGTGCCAAAAATTTGTGAAACAAATTTTAAGTATTTACTTAAAATTGATCGCAAATAATAATATATGAAAATATCGGGTACAATCTCTAAATATGAATCATCTGATTCTTCACTTGCAATTTGAAGTAATATAATTAAAGAATTTAATTTAAAATTAAATCTCTAATCCTTCAAATATTCGAACGTTCTTCGAATCTTCGAATCTTCGTTCTTGAGATCTCTGAATCTTCGTTCTTCGGATCTTCAAATCTTCTTGAATAAAGAATTCAGATTGAAGAGCCTCCGGTTTTCAAGTGGCTTGATCTTCAACAAAAGGGTCTTTTTATGGCTTAATCTTCTGTTTAAGGGCCTCCCGGGATATATAGGGCTTGATCTTCAATTGAATTTTGATTCAATCTTCATATGAATATCTTCAAATCTTCAAAGATTCGTTCTTCATATCATCGAATCTTCAAAGCTTTGTTCTTCAGATCTTCGAATCTTCAAGCTTCGTTCTTCAGATCTTCGAACGTTCTTCAACTTTTGGCTTTGTTTGATCAAGAATAGATGAAAATCACAAAGGATTAATCATATATTCATGACAAAAACGTGGCTTGATATCTTCCGATGTTTCGGAATCCTTCAGAGCCTTTCAGGAGTTCTTCAGAGCTTTTCTGCAGCGTTTCTTCGACTGGAAGTTCTCTTCCCTTTCCCTCAACTGAGACCCCTATTTATAGGTATGGAGGGGGTGAAAATATGGCTTAGGGTTTTGGAAATCGTCCATGCCCATTGGGCCTCAATTAAAATGGGCTTCGGGCTATATTTTCTTGCATTTCAAAAGCTAGAAAATTCAGCATTTATGCAACGTATCTGAACAGCTTTTCTAACAAGGTTCATGGCCATTTTCCATGCATATGGAAGGATTTCTTATCCAGATTCGTTGATTTCTTTATCAATTGGATCACGACTCTTATATATTGGGCCGCTATTTGATAATGGTATCAAAATTAATAGGACCGGTCCATCTTTTTAAAACTCAATTTATAACTAAATTAATTGGATATTTTAAATAATCCAAATTAATTTAATCACTGAACCATATTAACACTTTCCTTTTGATAAGATGGATAGCGTTCACGAGTAGTCCAACAGATTTCGATCTTGGCCCAATACATTCAAAGGAGGCCCAATATGGTTGAGAATAGCCCGGTAACATTTAATCAGTTAAATAATATTATGGACTATCATAGAATAATAAATCCAAAATATTAATTAATTTTCAATGTCCACAATGAGTTTTTACCTAAAATATTACGGAATACATAATACTCCGTATTTAAACAATAAACACTACCGAAAAGTTATGAACAAAAACGTAACTTAAGGATGTTTTTACTTGACCGTTTTCCATCCAAGACCAGACTTAAACAGACCAGACGTAACCAAACCAAACTTCCATGTTTATAAAATACAAAGATTATAAATTTACCAGATCAGATCACACTTAAACAGACCAGACCAACAAGTTTCAGTCCAAGTAAAAACATCCCAAGTGACATTTTAAAATTGAACATAATCATAATTGTTCAAAGTTTAATATAGGCATTGTATAGAAGAGGCAACATTTTTTCCATTATCTTAGATTTAGTCATACACATGTCAAAGTATTGGGACTAGTATTCGAACTGGAATTCAATCACCCCATATTTACAAAGGTCTGAGATAATGTCATGGAGATAGCTCAAGAAGCTGGGTCCAGTGTCTAGGAAGTTTGTTATTTCAGTAATTCAGTGTGAACCGGAGACATATAGCTAGTGGCAAGAGAAAGCATACTTCACAAATTTACAGCATACTTCACAAATTTCACCCCTACATAGCGCTACTAGGATAAGTTCATATTCAATGCACAAACCTGAACCTTCACAACCCACATTCATCTCGAGACGGACTACCGAGAAGTAGTGGGCCCAGCACCCTCTCTGAATATAACGTTAGCCATCTTTGGAGGTAGCCATGCAGTGCCAGCTGTCTTTCCTTCTCCAGGTTGAGGCCCATCTTGTTCTTTTACAGCATTGCATCGCATCCTACACTTTGATCCCCCAACCTTCTTCCCAATGAAAATCCCCATCTTCATGGCTGTGAATAAGCCCAATGCAATAACGATTGGTCTTATGGCCCAGTGAAAATCCTCAAGGTGTTGGTATTTGTTCACCATGCCCGGACAAGTAGTAAAAGAAACAAGTTCAACCTCAGCTGGATCAGCCAAGAAGTTGTTACCTTCCTCCCCGAATGTCAACCTGCCTGGAAAATTAACTGAAAGACAACCATTCGGCAGCACTTTGCAAATCCTGCCTGCGGCCCACTCACAGCCTCTCTTCCTGGGTGGCCATTCAAACCGAGGGCTAAAGACGTCGGACTTCACCTTTACAAATTGGCCAACACAATAAGCTTCTGACATCTGAAGTTCTGTGTACACACCCTTCCAGAAAGTGTCCAGTCCTATGAACGCCACAGTGACATCACCGCTCCTATCGATGCGGTGAAGAATACCCACGGGTGAATGATTCTTTCCGTAATGTTCCTTCAGACGCACCCAATCCCCGACTGAAAAACCGAAACTGACTCGCTCCAGCGTGGATCGGTGAACTCTTAACGGGTCATGCATCCCATGTACCCTTACCAAAAAAAATCCGTTTCTCTCTGTCTCATTCTGCATTCCTACTATGGTGCCTTCCGGAATCTCCATACTTTCAGGTTTGCATGAATTTGGAGGTTTTCTGGACCTGACAACGTCTCCCATTTGAAGCTGGTCCTTCAGAAGAAACCACTCACTATATCTGACAGATTTGGAGTTCCCCAATGTTATTGCATTCCCAAGATCAGTCCAGTCTCCATCACTATCAGTGGCACTCTGTGAGCTGCGAAATATCAGGAGAAATCACTGTTAGTGGTGAATACAGAAATAGTCATTCCTTAAGTGTCTATTAAGTGTCTGCCATCTACATTGACTAAACTATAAAGATGTAAACTTATATACAAAGATCTGGACTAGTTTTTTTTATTAGGTTGAACTCAATATAAAGCTTTGGACTACTTTTTTAGTAAGGTTGATTTTTAGAAAGAATCCTCAAGTCTTAATATAGAACCCAAACTCTCAATAACAATAATGGCAAGGAACAAGTCAATAAATCAATAAAGTACTATGATCTTATAAATTACAACTACTATGATAGCGCCTTATTTATTTGGTCTTGCTAATAAAAGCTTGCTTAACAAAACAACACACATGATGAAAATCAAACAGCTACTATGAGGTATATATGCCAATCTATCATTTACATAACGCAAAAGTGAAAGCATTGTCAAAAAGTAAGAAATACAAAGCAAGAAAAGAAAGCTTGAAATGGTATCACATCAGTGTTACTCATGGGAAACAGAGTTTGGAATAAAATATGTCAAAACAGGGGTCAACAATACTATGATCTGGCTGCATTCACCTTCCATATTAGGCACCTCATAAAGCTTGCCCTTTTTACCTTTATGCTGTGTTTAGTTTGAATCTAGTATGAAAGGCATACCTTCTAAATGCAAGCAATATGTCTTCCATGAGAGGACGGTTTCTGAAATCCCACTCAAAACAGCCAACAAGGACATTTTCAACTGCAGGAGGGAGACCAGCGGGAATATAGGGTTTCTCCTGTCTCAGAACCACATATTTATATATTTCCTCAACTGACTTACCAACCCAAGGCTGAACACCAGTCAACATCTCCACTATACTGCAACCAAACCCCCACGAGTCTGTCTCAAAAGATATGGGACCTCTTATCTCTGGTTCCCATTGTTCTGGGGCCATGTAGTTTGGGGTCCCGAGTCTTCGAGTCCTATCAGAACCAAACAAAGATACTCCCCGCAACATATAAGAAATTCCCATATCTCCCAAAAGTGCTTGATCTTTCTCGTTCAAAAGGAAGTTGCATGGCTTGAGGTTTAGGACTAAAAAACCCTTCGAATGCAGCTTCATGATTCCTTGTGCAAGTTCAGTCCCGTACCTGTAAATAAAACAGAAATGGGTGAGGCAAAGTTTGCATTTGCTTGTGCTTTTAAAAAGTGATTTACTTTACAGATTATAATATTATATATAGAAAAACTGGTAGTGTTGAAAATAAAAGTCATTTTTAAAAAAGTAAAGTTTGAGTATTTGTTAAATCAAAAAGCATAAAAGTGCTTCCAAAAAGCAATAGAAAACACTCTTTGAATGAATAAGGATAGTATAGATGTGCCTTATCTCTTGGAAAACTAATGTTGTTACTTGTTACCATATAACTCCAATATCACCTTATAACATCCTTCAAGGGTAGCTTCCCCCCTTTCATGTGAGCCATTTTGTCACCAACTGAGCCTTCATAGAACTTCATAATTATGCATAACTGAAAGATAATCAAAGTTTAGGATTGAAAAAAATAAATTTCCAACACTAATATTTTATAGTCATACTCACCCTCCCACTGATGACATATACTCCTTGAGTATGGCAAACATTTCCCAGGTCTTTACATTGAGCAAACAAATTTTCCAGCCGACTCCGTACAACATTCATATCCTCCCTGTTTATGGGATGCAAAATCTTAACAGCTACTTCATGATCCCCATCACTTTGCTTATGAGTCCCTAACCAAACATCACCAAACACACCCCTTCCAATTCTATGACGAAGTTTGATGTTCAACGAGGGATCAACCGATGAGCTCTCAGATTCACCCTCAACAATCTCAAAGCCAAGGAAAGATTTTGATTGATTTCCCACAACCTTCCTAGCCATATCTGGCCAAAGATGACAACAACCATCAAGCCCATCAACAGATAAGGATCACCCAACACATAATTTAATACATGCTCAAAATTCCTTGATGAAGGTGGGAAAACAGATACCAACTTAACTGCATCGAATCAATCACCAGCACAAAAAGAACTTTAAGCATAAAAAGTCAAACGCATAAAGCAAATTATGAATTCAACGTACTGAGCTAACCCTATTTCCCTTTCAAACAGAAAACATAATCAGAGAAAAATTAAAGTCACACATGAATCTCCTGTGGCTGGATTTTATCTGAAACAGGAAAAGCAGCAGTAGCCGCCGCAAACAAAAAAAAAAGTCTTACCTGTGCTGAAAATTCAGGAAAATGAATCGGTAAATATGAGAAAAAGAAAAGCAAGAGAGCCCGCACTTACTTGTATCAGAGTCGGAGAGGATTCTGGTAAATACTGGATATAAATGTTGAAATTTCGACAAATTGAAGTGAATTTGGTGCGAGAGAAAACAGGAAAACTATGATCTTATACTTCGATGATTATGATGTATAACCTGTCAGAGTATAGGCAATATTAAAAGAAGGAAAAATAATACGGAGAAATTATAAGAAAACGATATGGGGATAGAGATCAGGAGAAACAGCTGTTCCTGATATAGCAAAAAAAGATACCGAGTAGAAAAATATCAGTTCGAGACTCCCATAGGGAAAGAAGAGCACCGAAGGAAATGAAATGCTGCTAGTGATTAGTCCCGTCTCTACAAGAAGAAGACGGCAGCTAGACGCAACAGTTATCACCGCTAACAATTGCAAGAAAGAAACAATGAAATTAAAAAAAAAACGAATCCCATATTTCCATCCCAATAAAAATATAAAATGGAATTAGATTGCGGACTCCGCTTGCACTTTTTGTCTCCAAAAATAGAATCATTCGATGTGAGGTCACAGTATTTTGGAACTTCTTTTTATCCAATATATATGACTTTGTTGACTACACATTTGGAGATTGAATCTCCCATCTTCACATCAAGTCTTAACCTTCACATTATCGCTGCAGATTTTTAACCTTGGTCATTCATCCGAATTTTCTTATCACTCAACCAACTGAATTACTCGTGTAGTCGTGTGGGTAAGATATGTTGAGTATAGTTTATTTATTACTCATAGTTCATTATTACTACTCCGTTATATATAACTCAATACAATCAAGAGTAATAATTAACATTTTTAATGATTCTTGCTAACGGAATGTGTATTTTTGGATTTCTTGACTATTTGCATTTTATTTATTCAAAAATAGATCACTTACTTGACTTCCAAATCAACACAAATGAGATGTTTTATTACTTTATATGAGATACATATGTAACACATAATAAAGTAGCGACATGTGGTAGTGTGAGAGATTGACCATGTTAGATAGTAGCGATGACATTCAGAGGTGTTTATTGAATGATCACCTGAAAATTATCGATAATAGTAACATGAGAATTAAAGTGTGTACGTGTCATGATTTTACTAGAAACGTCTCTAAGAGGTAGCAACTTTGTTAATGTTAATCAGACTTTGACATAAAAGAAGTAACGCCTTTTAGATTGAAACGTTCTATATAGCTATTAGTTTAATTAAATATTTCTCTTTTTTCTTTTTTGAAAATTAAATACTTCTCTTTTATTTATGTTGGTGGTTAGTGAGTTAGTGACTTCAAGGTTCCAACTTCCAAGAGTTGCCATGTGTTCAATGAGCGGTGGATTATTGCTTCGTGTTTAGCCTTCGATCATAAGCACCGATTAGTTAACTAACTTAACTCAAATGCCTTGTCTATTTTGGAAGTACTAATTTTATCTAAAAGAGCAATCTCCTAGATCTCGGATGAGTGTTTTAAAGCATTTGTGGTAATTAGTTCATGGGGATATGAGTCATGATTGAGTAAGTAATTTGCGAAGGATATCATTTATGATCAAGTTTCTCCTAATTTGAGGGACTAATCACTAATATCGTGTTGCACAAAATATATGCGCGTATGAGTGCTTTGTACTTGGAACAAGCTACAAGGTTTTAGCTAGGTTTATTGACCTTCCTAATATTGAAATGATAGAGATAATTGTGCAGTTAGTGGAATTTGGCAAAATTAAATTGTAATGCTCCGACGGTCCGACCCCGTTTTGGCATCGGCAATCGCCCGTATAACATCTCAAGGGTAAGCACAATTTACATTTACTGAATTTTACAAAGGCTTTATGTATCACACATACCAAGTTCACGTACAACATATATGAATCAAACAATTGATTAATAAACATTAAATGCTAGGTATAGGCATACGAGCCCAAACATATTGTTCGCCGTATATGTTTTTAGGGAAAACTGTCAAATAGCTCCTCGAACTTTCATAAAAATAGTCAATTAAGTCCTTCTATAGGAGACTCTGTCCGGTCGTCGCGATTTGGGGTGGTTCCCGGTGGAATTTTTTGATGAAATTTTTTGAGCATCTTATTCATCAAGTCTAGTTTACTCATACCAAATTTCAGCTAAAAATGTAATCGGGAGCGCATTCAAATTAATTCGAGAACGCATAAATGCGCAGTTATCTTCAAGAATTAATTTGAATGTGTTCCCGATTGAATTTTTTTGCTAAAATTTGGTATGAGTAAACTAGACTTGATGAATAAGATGCTTAAAGAATTTTATCAAAAAATTCCACCGGGAACTGCCCCAAATCGCGACGGCCGGACAGAACCTCCTATAGAAGGACTTAATTGATCTTTTTATGAAAGTTCGAGGACCTATTTGGCAATTTTCCCTATGTTTTTAAGAAGAATTCTTGGTGTACACGTTTTTATCCCCATCGGTACACACATGTGTCTGTGAGAGTTTTTTTTCTGTGAAGCGCAGTCCACAGACAAAAGCTAGCTTGTTTTGTCTGTGGAAAATTTCACAGACAAAACAATCCAACTTATGTCTGTGGACAGCGCTTCACAGACAAAAAAAACTCTCACAAACACATGCGTGTACTGATGGGTATAAAAAACGTGTATGAAAGGAAATTTTCATGTTTTTAATCAATCACCGTTTGGCAATAATTGTTTAGGTAAATAGTCATAATCCAAATGTCAACAAAAAAAACTCTTAGGAGGTGTTTAGAATGACGAGTAATTAAAAGCAGAAATAGATGGGGTAGAACTTGGATCCTATATATTAGGCTCAAGATAATTAGCTCATCTCTTGCAACATATTGTATTCAATAAAAGAAGAGTATTGCTCCTACAAAATGCCAATTCATAGGGCTGGACAAAATGGTTCGGTTTAACCAAATCGAACTGAACCAAACCGAAAATTGGTGGTTTGATTTGGTTTGGTTTTACTTGAATAAATCGTTCGGTAACAATTTTCTCAAACCGAATGGTTTGGTTTGGTTTGGTTTTAAACCGAAAAACCGGAACACCGAACTACTTGTATTATATATTGTATATATTATAATTTATATATTGAGATTATATGTTTAATATATATATATATATATATATATATATATATGTATATACTTTGTATTTGTCTTCACTCTTCATTTTTAAGATTAAAATAAATCATTTCGACATGAAATACATGCTCCATATTTAGCTATATCATTTTAACTTTTACACATTTCATACATTAATTATGACAAAGTTAGCCAATAAAAAATATATGTATTTGTTATGTTTTGTACCCTACCTATACGAAAAGATGTTTGGTGATAACAATATCAAATTGTATTTATATTTTTTACATGATTCATTTGAATAACATTGTGAATATTACAACATTTGTACCACCAACTCCCTTAGTTTTCTTTGAATGCTAATCAAGTATATATTTATTTTTTTTGTAGGAAGTGAATCTTTTTATAGTGATCGAAAAGATGTTAGAAGTTTTAATTTGTACTACGTAATACTACGTATTTTATTACTTCTTTTTATATTTTTTATTTCCTTTTACATTTTATTTAAATAATAAAAAAAGAAGATGAGATGGACGTACTACCACTTTCATTTTCTAATTCTAAAATATAGAACTTGATCAAATAGAATAATAAATATAAGAAACCGAATCAAATCGAACAAAATTGAACCTGATACTTTTCATTTTGGTAAACCGAATCCAAACCGAGCTGAACCGGAATCGAACCGAAACCAAACCGAAAAACAAATGATTTTAGTTTGGTACAAATTCTCCCAAATCGAATAAATCGAAACCGAACCGAAACCGAGAAAAACCGAACCATAAACCGAATTGCCCACCCCTAGATTCTCATTCTCATGGAATTTAATAAAAAAAATAAAACTAAAAAAAACAAAGAAAGAAGGTCTTACTAAATGCCAATGGGCCCATGAGATAGAGTGATGAAGGAAAGTTTGTAGTGGTAAATAAGCTCTCTTTGTGTACTAGGAAAAGTGGAAAACGATTTTAAACATCCTTCAACATACTTCTATCTTTTAGCTTCTAAATGCATAATTTAAATAGAAACTGTCATTTGAAAATACTTATATCAGTTTTTTTAAAGCCAAAGTTGAAAACACTTTTTTAAACTTTTTGCAAACACTTTCTATTTTCAATTTTATGTCAATTTAATGCATTGAATGCTCTTAACGAGCAGGGGCGGACCTATAGATAAATGAGGGTAAGCACATGCTTCACCTCAATTATTGCTATCAGCCTATATGGTAATAGTACTGGTTTTAAAGTAGGGGTGGGATTTCGGAACCGGGAACCGTAGAACCAATTGGAACCGAACCGTTAACAACATCTAGGAACCGAATCGTTAACAATTAATGACTCATTTGTAGGAACCGAACCGAAACAGGTTATAATGGTTCGGTTCCCGGTTCCTATAAAAAATATGTGCATGGAACCGTTAAGGAACCGTTATTAAAAAAAATAAAATAACATAAAATAATAGTAGTAGTAGTAACAATAATAATAATAGTATAATAGCAATAATAAACCACCACCACAACAACAATAATAAAACAATATAAGATATCTAACTAACAATTCTAATTTAATCAACCGAAAATAAGTAATAAATATTGTACATGAGGTTGATATAATACATTAAACTCCTTTCTACAAATCAAGTTTTGTTCCATCACATAAATTTTATAAATATAAAATAACCCAAATAACTTGTAGTTGATTGCACATATTTTACTTTACTATTTTCATGATGTTTCTAATTATTAGATTTATTATGAATCAATAGAATGTAATAATGTTTTTTTATATCTATACATGCAAACTCAATGTCTTTTTTTTATGTTTTGAAAGACTTGAAGTAGGCGTCCTATTCTTGCTATTATGATGACGTGTAATCTTCATCGCTCCGACACTACAACGATTTTTAATGTTTGATTTATTACATGAAACTTTAAATCACTTTTGTTCTATTAAGTGTTCAAAGTTTATTAGTTAAGTTTGAGCTTTGATGTTTGAAGTAATTAGAGCTTCAAATAAAATTTTAATACGCGTGTTTTGAATTTTCGACGTGTTTAAAATTATGTGTTAATTCTTAGACGAGAAAAAATTATTTTAGGAACCGGTAAAAGGAAGAACCGAACCGTTTATTACCGGTTCGGTTCCATAACGGTTCTTGATTTTTTATATAGGAACCGAACCAATTTCGTTAGTTAAAATTTTTATAACGATTCCACTCATTTTGAGTAAGAACCGAACCGGTCCCAGCCCTATTTTAAAGCTCCTCATTGGCTTCACGTCGTGTGATCAAAGCCCTCAAGGCTTACCTCTTTTTAATTTTAATTTTAAAGTGTTGTTACCCCTTAATGCTACTCCTTTTTTTGAATTTTTGAAGTGCTATTCGCAGCCCCAGGTTTTCAAAGCAGCAATTTCATTCCGATCATTCCGATGTGTTTTTTAAAGAAATGTATTATTAATTAAACACTTT